TTTAATAAATAGAAGTTTGTAGTCTACAATCTTCATGACTTCGAGGTTTTAGGAACTTAAATCTTTGAAATTTATGTCTCAAATCTGTTCCTTTATACCTGCAATATATACTTCTTTATCTGTTGCATTTAAGGCTCAATTTTCACAGTAATGCAGAGCAAAAGATGTTCAAGTTTAATTTTCAAGCCAACTTAATTGCTTTGTTGATCAAACTTAACTGTAATAAACCCTTTTATTTCAAACATTTCTCTGAGTCTTTGCTCTAATTACTGTTGGATATCTTAAGACATTTCATCTTGAATGACCTCAGTATACCTTGACTTGGACTGTTCTTTGAATTGTTTGGTGATATTCTCTGGAGTTCAACTGTGCTCAACTCAAACCCGGTATATCATGGGAACCTTGGGCAGGCAACTCACAGTTTTCTCTAGATACTGATTTGTCTGATGGATGGTCAGTAAAATGTCTTCAATCTAGGTAGCAAGAACTGTGAGTGTTAACTGGGATTTAGAAATTTACAAACATTTCTAATCTCACCTAGCAAATTCAGGCTTTCCCTTGCGAAATGGCTTTTGGAATTCCTAGGAATTCCTAGGAATTCCTAGGAATTCCTAGGAATTCCTAGGAATAAAGGTGTGAATTTTCACGGTAAATTCGGACTGGGAATTCCTAGGAATTCCTAGGAATTCCCAACCATAGCAACTCTGGTTCTAAAAACCTAGAAATTCCTAGAAATTCCCAGAAATTCCCAGAAATTCCAAGTTTATAGCCAACAGGACTTGGAATTCCTAGGAATTCCAACTCAGAGAACCAATGACTTTCCCTGAAAAGCTGTAAATCTAAAAAATTCCTAGGAATTTCTGGGAATTTCTGGGAATTTTGGGAATTTTTAGGAATGTTTAAGAATTACTGGGAATTTTAAGCAAAAATTTGAGGCTAATGATATAAAATAAATACTTTAAATTAAAAAAACCCAGCTAAAATTCAAGTATTCAATGAGATTTATTTAGAAGCTTAATTAAGGCTTACATGTAAAATATTTTTGATTAATTATTAACATCAATGTCTGGTAATATTAGGATGGAATTTGATTTATTTTTCTTTTCTTGAAAACTTCATACGGATTAATCCTCAATTACAGCTATTCATATAAAATAGTTCTAATCAATCATTAAATTTGGCTTGACACAAATTGTGAATAAAATCTGTTGATTCTTTTCCATAAAATACAATATCTTAAGTTATATTTATATAGTTATATTCTTGGGAGTGAAGGGGCTAATTACAGACAAATAAAATTGATTTTTTGATTAAAATCTTGTTGTAACTGTAACAATAAATTAGAATGAAGTTATCCTAAACTGCAAACTTAGCTGCTGTTTGTACTGTTTGTATTTTTTTCCTGGGCTCACAATGAGTTGGCCTTGAATGAGGTTGTCAACAAGAACCTTGACCATTTTGTATCTGGATTCCTTGACATCTGAATTTGAAAAAAAATAATATATTAAAATATGTATGTTTAAAGCTCAGACCAGGCTTTTAAGATGGCTATGAGGAAAAGGGCATTCATTGGATTCTCAAATTGAGAAATCTCTGTTATATTGAGTGACTTTTATATTGGAGTTAGTACATCTCTCTCATGGATTTTACTAAAAAAGGGCTGAATACATTATTTTGTTTTTACCAAGGAGGGCTTCTTTATGTACTAAGGTTTGTTATGAATCTTGAATGTTCCCAAACGTGACTAGAGGAATCTTGAAACCTTACTGATAGGTTTATTTCATTGTAAAGCATAAGCTTAAGAAACTGCGGCATGCAAGTGACCGATTCGATTCTCAGAATTATTCTAGTTTCAGTTTAGCGTTATGTAAGCTTAATTCAACCCGCTACATCTATTCTTTTATAAGATTTTGATCACAACTCACCACAAACTTTCAAAATCGTAGCTTTACAGATGGCCACTCGACCCTTGTTTGTACCGGTCCATATGTCAACTGTTGTCCCTTCTTTTAACTCCACGGCGCCAACGACTTTCTTCTCTTTTACAACACTCACGCTATTCTCGTTTTCCCATTGAACCACAATAAAAGCTATCTTTAGAAATGTTATATTAAGCAAAACAGTTGAGAAAAGCGATCAACCGATGAAAAGTACATTCAAAGATGAGCGCCAAATGGAGTCTTCTTTGTTTCCGATCACGGGCATGATCACGTGGATCTTTTAGGACTTGTCATTGGCTAGCAAAGTGAATCCGCTGGCTTGCCGATTGCAGTGTTAAGAGAAGCGCCCAACTTTATTTATGACTTCTCCGACCGGTTCTCTGATCCTAGAAGATGGATAGCTTGGTGATATAAATAAAGATGTGAGCTCACTCTATGTAGAAATAATCGACAAGAATCGATCGTATTACAAATGCACGATTTGTGGCCGAAAGTTGTCGAGGAAACAAAGACTCGAAACTCACTTGAGTTGTGTTAATGGCAAAGGTGAGAAATAACACAAGCCAATCACAGTTTTGAATGCTACTACAAATCGTCTTTTACCCTCATATTTATAAAAGAAGGATACCACATTCGGAAGTGTAAGAGATACATAGATGATCCCAGTGTACCAGTACCTAAATCTACAAAGCTTGACCGTAACAAGCGTTCAAACTTTTCAACACCGCCATCTCGATTCCTCAGTCAGTCGTTTACTTCCACAGTGTGTCGCTTGTTATCTGACCGCTTACTTTGATGAAAAGAGCCCATTTAAACAAGTTGTTTATTTCGAGGTTTTCAACGTACATAAGAAAAGCCCAAGGCTGAACACTCCATTTCCGAACGCCTGATCCGAGAAGCGAAAAATCCAAGCTCAAAATGATCGGGCGCCCACAAATCCAACGCAGAATCCAAGCACATATACTGTAGTTTCATTAAAATTCACTAAAAACTCAATCTTCCCCGTGCAACCGACACTAAGCCGCAGTTTGCTTCAAAAATTTCCGGTTTAGAGGTTTCTAACAGCCCGCGGCCACATCAACCTTGACACACGACCGTTGAAAACCAGCTCGGTAACCCTAGCTCCTTTTCGAACTGAGCCTCGCCGGGGACCATACCGTCAGTTATCGTCTATAAATTGTTTTAGAACCACGGGTCCCCTCAGTAGAAATCGATCAAGAGGCTATTGTTTCGATCGGCCAATCGCCCAATGTGATTATTTTCGGAGTCAGAGGAAAACCTTGGAAGGATTTGTTCCAGTATTCAATTTAGCTCTATCTGGACATACTTAGTTTAATGTTGCTAACAAGACAACTGTTATTTAGTTTCGTCCGCACGGATATCAGCAACAACAATACTTACCACGATTTCCATTTCAGATACGAGTCGAATTGATTACGTCCCTGCTGCGACCGTGGAATAGACTATTTTTTACCGACGACATTTTTTCTTTTTGAAATTGAAAGGAAATTATCGAGATTTACGAGATCAGCTGTGCGGTTTGCAACTATGCCTGTAAATTATTTTGAATTTGTAAACATTTCCGGAGGCGAATTCGATTGGCCGATCGAAACAATAGCCTCTTGATCGATTTCTTTTGAGGGGACCCGTGGTTCTAAAACAATTTATTGACGATAACTGACGGTATGGTCCCCGGCAAAGCTCAGTTTGAAAAGGAGGTGGGGTTACCGAGCTGGTTTTCAACGGTCGTGTGTCAAGGTTGATGTGGCCGCGGGCTGTTAGAAACCTCTAAACTGGAAATTTTTGAAGCAAACTGCGACTTAGTGTCGGTTGCACGGGGAAGATTGAGTTTTTAGTGAATTGGAATGAAACTACAGTATATGTGCTTGGATTCTGCGTTGGATTTGTGGGCACCCGGTCATTTTGAGCTTGGATTTTTCGCTTCTCGGATCAGGCGTTCGGAAATGGAGTGTTCAGCCTTGGGCTTTTCTTATGAACGTTGAAAACCTCGAAATGGACAACTCGCTAATATGCGTTCTTTTCATCAAAGTAAGCGGTCATATAACAAGCGATACGCTGTGAAAGTAAGGTGAGGTATTTTTTTTGAGAATTTGACGTATTATTTTATACCTTAGAGCGGTCGTAAATATTCCCATACAAACTCTTATAATTCCGCCATGACTGTTATTGCGCAAGATGATCATCTCACAGCTGGAGCTTGGGCCGCCTGTGACTGAATCGGCTAAGTTGTGTTTGGAAGAGAAACATACAGGTAACAGACCAATCGCGAGTTTTCAGCTCTTCAGGATGAGCAGAACAGTTGTCCATCAGCAACAACGCTTTAGGCGAACGAATAATGTTTGGTGCACGTTGGTGGCGTTTAACAACTGGGATGAAATCTTTCTTGAACCACTCAGCAAAAATCTCCGAGTTCATCCAAACGTTTCTTTGAGACTTGTAAATGACAGGGAGCGCAACCATGTTTACGTTTAAAACATCGTGGCGTCGCAAATTTTACAATCACAACTGGTTTCGGTTTATGGGTTCCTGTGGCATTACTACAACCAAGGACAGTTTGGCGATCTTTTGATTTCTTGAAACCAAGGGCAGATTTTTCGCGGCGTGACACCAGGGTTCTGTCGGACAAACATCTCCACAGGAGTCCCGTTTCTAACTATTAGGAAGCCTCTATGCGAAAAACTAGAACTGAATCACAACTTTTTCCACTGACAAAGATAAAAGCATCAAGGTATAACAAAATATAATTTTTTAAAAAATTTTTTAAATTTAAAATTTTTTTGTTTTGTTTTGTTTTTTTTCCTTTTTTTTTTTTTTTTAACATTTTTGAGAAACAAAATATCTGAAAACATTGGAAAAAATATTAGCAAAATGTTCTAAGTATGGGAAATATGGTACACCCAAAATTTAGTGATGGTACTTCTTAGAATGAAACACTGCAAAACAATCCCAACCCTTACTAACATGCATATACTTCTGACATTGAGGGGCATCACAATAAGATCGAACCCTAAAATCTCCCCTACCCTCTTTATAACATACCACACAGCGTCTCTGAGTACTAGAGAAAACTGGGATATGGACAGATATAAACTCCTCTGGGGCAGGAGGGGGTGATTCCACTGTGGTATTCGCAGGTGGACTACCATAATCAGGGAAACCACAGATTTGTCTAATAATTTCTACCCGGAAATCAGCCAAAGAATAATGGGAGGGCCTTTTAAGAGCATCATCGTCAGGAAACTGAGCCTGATGCTCTTTAAAAAGAATAAAACCATTAACTACAGCCATGTCAATTAGGTGGTAAAACAAAGTTTTCCACCACTTCATGGACTTACGTAGTGCACTATTTGTAGTTAGAATTTGATCAGATCGGTCAACCCCACTCATAAACTTATTGTAATTATCTATAACTTTAGGTTGTGATACTTCCCTTGTGTTCCACACACCATCTTTCTTTGTTTTCCTGTTGACCAGACCATGATCATTAGCTCTATCTATAGTTGTTAACATTGAAACTACTTTGTTATCCACCCACTGAAGTGCCAAACAAGGAGGATCTCTTTCCCAACGCATGCTACCCCTTTCTTTCCCCTTAGCCCATTCCTTACTGTTTTTGAGCGCAGCTGGAAAGTCTCTCCTGGTTTCCCGCATGGTACCAGTGGCAAGGACTCCCTGAGCAAACAAATCTTTGAACAATTTGACTGATGTATAAAAGTTATCAACAAATAAATGGTAACCCTGATTTAGAAAAGGCCTTATAAGTTTCATCACTACATCATAACCTAACCCAAATTTACTAGTTTCCTGCCCAGTGACTTTACCAATGTAGACATTGAAGTCTACAGTGTAACCATTTGAACTGTCAGCCAATACCCACAATTTAATACCCCATCTGGTGGGCTTGTCTTTGATATACTGACGTATACCAGACCTGTGGCGAGACTTAACCATGCGCTCGTCAATAGCTAAATTTTGTCTGGGCTGGTACAAAGCAAGACACCTAGATTTAAAATAATCAATAAAGGACTCAACTTCACGCAGCTTATGGGATTTATCTTCTTTAGCGGGATCTACCACATGCAACATGGCCATTAGGGCTTTGAATCTGGTTCTAGACATGATTGCTCTTGCCCAGAGACCATGAAATAGGGTCTTTATGCTTCAATACTTGTCAACATCACCAATCTTAACAAGCCCCATATAAATGATAAGAGCAATCAGCCGCTTTATTTCATCAGCTGTGGTCTCTTTCCAACTACCATCAGGGCTTGTATAACTCTGATGGGACCCAGAAAATATATGCTCCCAAGCATAACTATTTGTATGTGCAACTATATTGTTTATCATTTCAATTGTAAAAAATAGGTTAAAAAACTCTACCGCCTTTTTCATGGTGCTCCTGAGTTGAGGCCGCTCAAAATGGATTCCAGCTGGCCTTGAAGGAGTAAAAGGAGGAATGGGATTGCTTACATCATGATCATTATAAGATTTGAAAGGGGCACGAGCAGGAGTACGAGTGCGACCACGCACACTCCTACGGCCAGCCGAACCACTTGAACGACCTCGAGTGGCAGGAACACCACAATCTTGAGAAGCAGGAACACCAACAGCACCAGCACCATGGAATCTTCCAGGACCTACACAAACATAACAAATATTTTAATTTTGTTGATAAAGTCCATAGATCCTATAGATAAGGTTTGATAAACCAAGTAATATTTTCCTCCTTTCAAGACATTTACTCACCAAGAGGAGTGGCAGAATTGAGAGGGGGAATTGGACAGGCAGCAGTAGAAGTAGCAGAGGGGCCAGCAACTACACATTAAAACAAAAATAATTATGAGAAATTGTAGCAAATGCTGTTGGAAAGTGCTCAACACACATGAGTGTAGAGCGAAATACAGTTCAAAATGACTAAAATGAAACACGCATGATTACCTGTAACTCTGAGTTTCGTGCTTACGCACTCGTCAGACAGGTTTAATCTGTCTGACAAGTGCGTAGGCACGAAACTCAGAGTTACAGGGAATCATGCGTGATTCATTTTAGTCATTTTGAACTGTAAAACAAAAATATAATTTTCAGTGAATAAATCAGTTATCCTCAACATCGATATACTGATATCCTAATAAAATTCACGTTACTCTATGGTATGTGCATTCGGAAATTATACTTGTTATTCTAAATTTTGCCGGGTGGAAATATTTCACTTACCAGGAGCCATGGGTTCCTTAGTGGAAGTGCTAGCCTCCTCCGGCCGCTCGTCATCTTCAACTTCTCCCTCGCTAAAACTGTCATAAGTAAAATGTTTATATTCCGTAAGTCAGTCAAAATTAACCAAATGAAAAATCTATATTAAAGTAAATGGCCAAATCGTCACCGAATCGCACGCAACGGACGCAGCCGAAAAATGCATTTCTCCATGGTAACAGCTGATCGAACCACCCTTCCAAATAGCTTGAATCGCATCGCATCTCATCGCTAAAAACATGCTCGTAGCGTAAATTGCTACTTTTCAGAGTCCCTAAAGTCAAATTTTAATCAAATTGAAATATCTGCACAAGAATCAAACACAAAAGGGCGACCTGAGGCGAACGACTTCGCATCTCAAGACTACATGCTCGATGGCGACCATTCCGCCATGGCCTTTATTGACTTCTCACCTCGATTCCCCACTCTCATTTTCTAGCTGTCGGTCCAGATCACTTTCTTCTCCACTGTCCATCCCATCAGCGGAGTTTTCATCATTAAAGATCTTCTCCAACATAATTTCAGCGGAGACAAGGTTCACACGCGCACGCTTAGACGATGAAGCCATGTTTAACGGTGAAAGTGAAATTTCAAATCAAATGTTGTGTAGTATTTTCAAATGTCGCTCACCAACCTCGCTACATGATTCGTTTAACATGTCAACGTCATACAGACCAAATATGGAAAGAGTCGGAAGTAACGCAATACTCTTCCGGAAATGATGGGTGGAATTCCACCCCTAAGCGCTGGGGCTGCTGGGATATCTTTTACTTAAAAGATATATCAGACATACGAAGTATCATTTCTATCAGGTCAATGTTTTATCGTGCTAAGGCGCTCTGAGAGGTCCTAGAGCAAAACAAGGAAAATTTCAATCCAGGCTCTTTCATTATTAAAATTTCGCGGTGCACTTTGCTTTCTTTTCTTTGTGGAATGTTAGGTTTTTAGATGCATGACGGATCCCCTCTCGGAGTCAGCTTAAATAGCCATCAAGAGGCCAAGGAGTTATATATTTGGCGATAATAGTTGCAAGTATCAGCTACAAGAGTTTCTGAAATCAGATCGAAAGGAAATGACCATCCTACTATATGGCAAGACAAGAGTAGGAAAGTCACATTTGACCAATCCACTTAAGAGAGGATGTCAGCATCCATCGAACAAATTTGAAATATTGTGGCAAGTCACCCAAAATTCGTTTCCTCTCCTACTTTCATATTTTGTAGCCCAATATATTCTAATAATTGTAGTGTAGTTTTTTTGTAAAAATATATTTTAGTTTTCGAGAAATGACTTTTTTCGTTCGACCACTCAAATATGCAAATTTTCACCTTGAATATTACCCGAGTTGTGTGACCTCATGTGACGAATGTACTAGATCTACGCTATTTCTGTGAGCATAATCCTTTGTTTTATCATCTAAACTTAAACCCCTGTCGTTATTGAAGCTGGCAAAGAAATACTTACTTTTTGGTGAATATTTTTGTCCGACATACTTTTCCTATGTCGAAAAGTAGCATCAAAACAAAGACATTTTTAGCAATGACCGATGTGACAGAATCTACTGAGCTTCAAACTGTTAAAAGCCCAAAGGATGGTTATTAAGTTACTGTAAAAATTTCCTTAAGTATTTGTGTTGTTCTATCTTGAGACGAACTCAAAGTCCGGGAAAATTTACTTCATAGCGACTATGAAATATACATGGTGCGCCTACTTGTCGCCACCGTTAATTGGCATAAATCACTACAATTTGTAAAAAAGTCTAACATAACACTCTTACCTTGTTTAGTTATGATTTTATTAGCCGTTTCGAGTATTATATTACGCCTGGGTATTACTTTTTGACAGGAGCCCAGGTTTTGCGTTGTGTTTTCCCCTCCCTCATTTATATCATAAGCTAGTCAAGTGAATATTTACCAGGTATAAAGATTTTTGTTTAAGTTGAATTGAAAATATTAAAATCTGTGCTTTCTTCACTAATCGTTGTTTCAGCGGCAGCTCAGCAGTTAAAAGCGGGTTGTGGCTTCAACGCTACTGAAATTTTTAGTATTCAGACAGGCGAGCAAAGCGTGATGCTCTGGGAATAAAAACTTTTAGGGGCCTTTTACATGATATCCGAATGAGTTTTGTACAAGAACGAGTTCATACCGGTTACCACATAATAACCAGCGTAAAATTTATTCGAAACGAGTCAATTCTGAGTGAGTTTATTGGGGTTTTCATTACAGAACGAAAACTCATTCTGGACGACCTTTTCTATCTGTGCAATGTAAACGCGGCACGGCTCTCATATTTGTATGAGTCCTCTGTAGGAGCGAGGGAAGCATTGAAAAAGACAGAAAAGGACATTAACACTTGTTTTTACAGGCTAATTGTTGCCACTCCCACACGGATAAGACTTAAGTACCTTTTATAAGGTACTATGGCTATGGTACTAAGGCTATGTAAAGGGGTCCCCCGGGGATGCTGATACGTGCAGCACACTTGACATTTAGCAAGGACAAATTCTAACGTGATTTTTGGCGAAGAGAAACAAGTTTTGTCAGCGTCTAGTTGCTAGTGCGGAAGGGCCCTCTACCACCGTGTGCATAACTACGCGTCCCCCCAGACGGCGGAAAGCCAACAAAGTGTTTAGACATTAGTTCAGAAAACTCCGCCTCTGTCTGAATTTTTGGTAGCCTATTGACCAATTCCCAATCGAAACTTAAGTCTGACGTCACGTGTAATTTTGCTCACGGTGGTAAGTAGCCTACTTACCGAAGCCAGATTGTACGAATTTTCCAGACATCTTGAGTAATATCTTTGATACACGCTTGCCAATTCCCCTATCAGCTTTTGGAATCGACTTAACCCTACCTTTATTATGGCCGGACATTTCTTTTGGCACCCTACATCTGCTATTGGAACCACGATTTCACCTAACACCGAGATTTGATCTGTGAGTGGGGCAATTTGTAAAGTCATCGATATCTTTTGGCGTCTCGAAGATGCCGGCACGCGACAAAACAAGATCGACTTCATTTTCTGGATCTGAAAACTTGCAACTCCGCAAGTGACTTGAAATGTCTAATTAACAATCACGTAAGGGAACGACTTGGTCTTCTCGATAACTAAACCCACAAGTTCCACCAGCGAACGATTTCACTAAACAGCAAATCTCCATTTTAGCATGTAAGATGAGTCGCTTATAAAACAGATCAGTTAGCTAAATCAGTATGTAGCTTGTCAATCAAATTGAGTATTGTAACCATACTTTGACTTCAGCCGGCAAAGGAATCATTGATGGATCTGGACATTTTAGTTTTCTGAATGCAGTAATTCCTGAAAGGTTTTTCTAGATGTCATGCAAAGAGGAAAAAAACCCATCTCTTGGTATTTCAGAGGTTGATTCATCTTTGAATTTCTGTGTCACGCTTGTCACGCAACTGATATAATGAGATAAGGAAGATATATAAACTGGAACTCAAATCTGGCCAGAATGTGGTAGAGCATAATTAACGTGATCATCGAAACAGCTAATAAAGTCATAAATAAACAAGGTAAGAGTGTTATGTTAGATCTTTTTGCAAGCTGTAGTGATTTATGCCTATTAACGATGGCGACAAGTAGGCGCACCGTGTATATTTCATAGTCGCTATGAAGTAAATTTTGCCGGACTTCGAGTTCGTCTCAAGATAGAACAACACAAATACACAAGGAAATTTCTACAGTAACTTTATAACCATCCTTTTGTCTTATAAAAGCTTGAAGCTCAGTAGATTTTGTCATATCGGTCATTGTTAAAACTGCCTTTGTTTTGATGCTACTTTTCGACATAGGAAAAGTATCCAGGTCCAGTACATTCGTTACATGAGGTCACACAACTCGAGTAATATTCACGGTGAAAATTTGCATATTTGAGCGGTCGAACGAAAAAATTATTTCTCGAAAACTAAAATAATTTTTTACAAAAAAACTACACCACAATTATTAGAACATATTGGGCTACAAATTATGAAAGTAGGAGTGAAAACAAATTCGGATGACTTGCCGCTGTTTGTTTGATGCATGCTGACATTAGCTCTTAATAGTGAAAATCTCGCGAGAGAGGGTCATACTCTGTTTACAGAGACAGCCGACGTGAGTAGATTCACGACTATCTAACTCAAAATTTCTGTTCATACTCATAACCATTACAACTTCCTGAAACGCGACTCGCGCATTAGCTGTTCATTTTTATTAATTATTCTTTAGAGTTGTAATCAGACAATGCCTCTACCATAGATATTTTCTCAAATAAACTTCGTAATGTGTTTTTTTTTCCTGGAAATCGCAATGGTCATAAATAATTGATAACAGGAATTTGTGTTGTCCAATTCGTTCTGTAGTAATATACATGAAAACATCACGCACTTCTGATTGGCTGGAAACGAGTGAATTTTTTAAGGTAACGCGAGATCAACACGAGTGCAAAGTTGTAATATGAGTGCAAATCACATATGACGCGCGCTTTCAGATTTTCGTCAATTTATCATCTTAATGCTTTTCTACGCAAAGTGACCAACATTTTCTTACTAAGTGTTGATATCAAATTAACTTGGAGCTTGTGAAAGTTAAGCTCATAGAGTATTTATCAGACGTAATGTAAAAAAGATCTGAACAAGAGAATTGCTGCGGTTAGGGATCGAGTTTGTCTTCAGAAAGAAAATTCGAAATTTATTGGTTTTTTTTTTATAGAGACTGGTGTATTCTTAAAATGTGAACTAAAATTTTTATTTATCATCTTCCGGTCTCACTATCCCTTTATGGAAATGCTCTTACAGGAATACTATTATCTAGATAGAGAAATGATAAATTACACAGGGTTCAAGCCAACAGCCAGCTGCCGGCGGCAGCCGAAACTTTTTGCACGCTTGCCAGCGATTTTTCACCAAAGAACTAGAATTTTATTGAAAATATTATGCTTATTGATCTTTCGACTGAAGTTAAAGTCGCTGTCATATTATGGTGAACATTTCATATTAGGCAATAAAGTAACCAATGTTTTGAAGGCTGTTTGCAAATGTAAACGAATATAAAGTTTCGAGATTTGAAGCGTGCTACAGGGAGTATTTTTGTTTACAGTATCAAGCTTTCTACGTATTTCTTTAAGCGTGACACCACAGGCGGCTCAAGCTCCAGCTGTGAGATGATCATCTTGCACAATAACAGCTATGGCGGAATTATAAGAGTTTGTATGGGAATATTTATGATTGCTTTGAGGAATAAAAAAATACGTCAAATTCTCAATAAAAATACCTCACCTTACTTCCACAGTGTATCGCTTGCGATCTGACCGCTTACTTTGATGAAAAGAGCCCATTTTAGGAAAGGTCCGTTTCTTATGTACGTTGAAAACCTCGAAATGAACAACTCGCTAAAATGGGCTGTCCAAGGTGATCGTAGCCGTTGTGATCAAAATAGTGACACCGCTTCTGATCACCGTCCCATTACTAGAAGTGTTTTCATGGTGGAGATATTAATAATCCCGGAGTCACATCTGCGTCTATGCTCAGCTACGATAGGCACTGATCATGGGTAGAGAGGCCCAGCGTAGAGTTTCCCCAGCATCAACCTCGTCCCTCCTTCATTAAGAGAAAACCTGAGAGATGTCATGATGAGGTACGCTAGAGGAGCCACCAGGGTGGTATTCGAAAGGATCCTTTCTGAAAGTGGCTCCCTTGTTGCCGCTGCCCTCGACTGGATTGTTAATTACTTCATAGACTGGCAACGAGATAGCCCTGGAAGGGAAGATTAATACTATGGAGGAAGAGAGAGAAAACTAGCGAATAGCTGACGCCGGAGTAGTTCTTATTGAAAGCTTTTTTGCACCTTAAAAATCTGCATAACTTGCACTTTTTGCAAAAAGTTATACATTGGTAAAACTAGATGACCAATTCCGAGAACACGTCCGCAGTGTAGAAAGAATGACAAGGACATATCCAAACCAGTCGCTAGACACTTTAATCTCCCTAATCATTCTAAGCAGCCAGGAGCCCATTACTTAGGCTCCTGAAGCAGCATGTGGCAGTTTTCGGCCTTTCCCTACATCTGGGCAGTTCGGAAAGCCGCAAAACTCTGGAAGAAAAATTTATCTTTCAAATCGACACTCTTGAGCACCACCGTGTCTACGAGCGCTTTTCATTCAACAAATTTATTATTGTTTTCTCCTCATCATATTCCCACCAATAGCGTAGCTCCGTTTTCTGCAAATAAAACCACACACAACCCACAATTCCTTTAATCGCTCTGACGAAGGGTTTAAACGAGCTCGAGGCGTCAGCTTTTCTAGCTCTTTGCGGTGGATAGTACTATATTACCCCATCTTCACGAAAGACCGAGCATTTGCCTTGCCTTTCAAGGTAGGTTGAATGGATTAACTTGTGCAACTGATTTGCCGATAGTCATCTAACAGTACATTACAGCGACAAGGAAGACGTCGATTTAGAAATGAATATACATTTTCAGTTGGAATTTCGCGAATGACTGGATGTGCTTACCATCTCTTACGGCGACGCAAGTTAACGTTAGCATGACGTATGAGAGCGGCGTTGATTTCTAAGTGGAAAAGTTAAATAATTTGCCGTCGACGTTTCTTTTCTCGGAACACGCAGACTTTCATAATTTCACGTTGTTAATTGCGACTGAAAGCAAACGACGGCAACGAGAACAACGAGGACGAAGCAAAACAAAAGATCTAATGGGCAAAACGATTGCTCAGCTCGTGCTTTTTAAAGCTTTGTACATTTCTTAGGCTTGCTCTGCAAAACAACAACAACGTGAGATCACCAAAATTTGCATGGTCTGCGAACGGAAAAGGGGAACGACAGATTATTTTGATTTCCATTTGGAACTCAAAGCTGCCAACATAATTATGTTGTGCTGAAGTTAAGGTGTGGCTTTGTAAAAAGTAAACACATCTTGTCATTTTCGAAATTCTAACTAAAAATAGAAATTGACTTTTTAATCGACGTCCTCTGTGGCGTAGCTTCCTGATTGCCTAAGGTCCCTATTTTTCAGAGGCCGGATAAGAAATGAAAACAGTTTTCAAAGGGAAACGCTGAGCTATTGTTCTGCCCAAAGAAGTCTTTCAAGTTGTTTTGTCACGGCCAAGTCATCGTTTCCGTCGCCGTCGTGGTTTTTTTTTTTTAGTTTTTAATTTTATATGCTTCTGATACAAAATTCAGACATAATTAAAGTAACTACACAGAAACAAGGAGGTTTGACCAACAACAGCCGCGCAGTAGCTGCAGTGAGCATTTTCACCAAAATTATCTTTATAAAAAAAGTATCTTTCGATGCCGTCCCATGCTTTCCCATGCCGTCTGTCGTGTATTCGTGGTATCTTTCGATACGTCGACAAAATTCGGTTTTGCATTTGTTCAGGTCTTCGCTAGTTGTCGCCGTTACGAATTAAACATCACTGGTCAAAATTGCAGCTTTATCTTCGTGCGCGATGCGATCCACGTTTGGAGAAGTTGGAGCCGATTTTGCTGGCAAAAGTCGAGTGTATATTATGATCGATATCGATAGCAAGATCTATTTTCGCTCGTCATTAAGAAAAAATAGGTTTTAACGGGGTTTAGACAGTTTTAAGCTAATTCCAACATTTTTTTGAAGGAATCTTTGTTGGATAATTTGTTGTAAGATGTTTCTTCTTTTTCCAAGAATCCTCGCGTCCTCGATTTTTTCCAAGAATCCTCGCTTCCTATTCTCTATACCAGCTGTGTTTGATTAAAGACTGACAGATAAGTTTGCCGACAAAAGGCAACAGATCACGAAAATACTTCAAATAAATTAAAGTTAGTTATGTTTCCTGTAGCGATCCTTTCGACTGAGAAATAATTCGCTCTTTCTTCGCAGGTGCACCGTAAGTATCTCTTAAAGAAATTTGTAAAACCTTGAGATTCTGCGGCAAATTATCCAACTTTTTTAGACAACCGTGGCACTGTCTACAATTAAATGTAAGTAGAAACGATCACACGACTGACATTTCGTTTCGTTTCGTTTCGATTTGATTTCGTTTCGATTTGGTTTCGTTTTGTTTGACATCGTTTCGTTTCGTTTCGTAAGCGCGATGCCAATCGAACAACGTCCTCTCCTTACTCTACTCCAAATATCGTCTAAAATCTTTTTCTATATCCTGAAAGCAAAGTATGTATTTGAATGCAGACACTGAATTGTAAATTACCCGGCTAACGTAAGCTGACGGATAACCAAAGTATTGACCAACATTTAACATCTTACGGTCACAAAAATAGCCCGTTTGTATAATTTGAAAGAAAAACTAAGCGCACCTTTAAGTAAACTAAATAGAGAACAAAACACAGAGCACTCAAAGTATTTGAAAGAAAAACTAAGTGCTCCCCTAAAGTAAATTAAATAGAGAATAAAACACAAGGCACTTAGAGTATTGACCACCGAATTTGATCAATATTTTTAGATGGAAGGTTTGAATGCCTGAACTGATCGATATATTAATATGTCAGTACTACAGCAAATCGACTGAGGAGAATTAAGCGCAAGCACAGTTAAGATTTATCAAAATTTTTCTCGGCGAAGTAGATTTTCTTGCATTCTACTCTTCTGCCACGTAGCACATAACCAGTAGTCGGGCGACTGATCCCGCATGGAAATAAAACACCTGAAGATCAGAGTATTAGCAGCCGAATTTTGATTTCTCGTCGTAATCAAAAACTACCTACTTACGTCTTCATAGATGACTCAAAACTGTTTCAACAAATCAACTCAGTCTTTAAAGACTGCAACACGAATGAAGCACGTGTGAGCAAGATCACTTAATGATCCAATTGATGTCAGATGCTCTTTGAAAAGCATTTATGTTGACGTCATAATCTTTTGATTGAGAAAAACAAACAGCAGATTATTATTTTGACAATGCTTACTAAATATTTCTTAATAATTTTCTATCCACAATGGTTTGGTCAATTTACACATGTTTTATTTTCTTCCTCTTATATTAATAAAAATTATTTTTTTCAAAGTTTGTTATCAAGAATGGCACAGGAAGGGACCTCAGAGAAAAGTTCTGATGCCTCGGCAACTGAAGTTGGTCAGATTATATTTGGTGCAAAAAACTTGGAGTATCAGATCGAAGAATTTGTCAGTTCCGGTGGCCAGACAGTTAATATCCTCCTGAGTGGCAAGACAGGAGTTGGCAAGTCTTATTTGACAAATGCGCTTATTGGAGAAAACGTAGCAGCAGAAGGATATGACATCGACCCACAAACTGATGACGTAAGCTACTTTGATATCGACAATTACTTCACCTTTTAAACTATTATGAGGTGCTTTCATTAACGGGTTACTGTGCATTACTTGTGGATAGGAAAATGGATAATATCTCGCGTCCATGCATGTCTAGAATCCATCTGTTCCCTTTTTTTCTTCCGGAAATTCCCATCTTTAATACTTGAAATTAAGAGAGAATTATCGAATTACTTTACAGGTATTAGGTACAAAATTACTCTAAGGATAAGTAAATACTTCTTTTCAACGTCTTTTAGACGAACAGGGCTTTATATGAATAAAACGTTTTCATGCATTTTTCTCGCGTAACTGAGGTAACATACCAAGCCATATCATAATGAAATCTCTGTTAGAGTTAAAAGTTGTAATCATTTCCTGTTTTATGTCCCTCAGGTAACTGCTTATGAAGTTGTCAAAAACGGCGTAACTATCACAGTGTTCGACACTCCAGGACTTGCAGACGCAACCGGCAATGATGAAGAATATCTGCGGAAAATCAAGGAGAGAGTGACCCACTTCGACTTGTTTCTCTTCTGCACTGAGATGACCAGTAAGCGATTCCGCACCGACGACTTGGAAACGTTAAAGAAGCTTACAGAAGCCTTGGGGGAGAAACTTTGGGAACATGCTCTTGTGGTTTTAACCTTTGCCAACGAAGTCCCACTATCGCCAACCAAGAAGACAGATGACGTACCTGAAGCAACCGCTTTCAATAACCGCGTTTTAGCTTTCAAGAAAGCGATAAACAAACATTTGGTTGCTATCGGAGTACCTGATATTACAGCGACTAATGTGCCATTTACGCCAGCCGGAGAGTTGGATGATCCAAGACTTCCAGGTAGAGAAGACTGGTTAACAGCATTTTGGATCTCAGCTTTCAAACGTATCAACAGGAACGCAAAAGCTGCTTTCCTGATGGCAAATGTTGATCGTATTTCATTTTCTTCCACCCTTAGTGACGGAAACGAAGAAATCCAAGTAAGGAAAGATGGCAACGTTGTCAATCTTGGCCAGTTCGGTAATTTATCCATCGAAGAAAAGAATACAATCAAAGAATTCAGAACAAAATTGAAAGAGAGCGACTTTGACGAAAAATTGAACCGTTGTTTCCAGAAAGGCGGGACGTCCGACGAGCCTGGCCAAGATGCAAAGGTGTCAGGTCCCTCCATCAAGGTGAATGAAACGTACTCTGAAGAAATCATTAGGGATGTGTTTGGCGGTGTATCAGGGCAACTCATCGGTGAGCTGACCGGTGCTAAATCTGGTAAAAAGTACCAAACATTCTTCGGCTGGCTAACGAAGTATTTTAAGAAGTCTTACCCAACTTCCCGACCCACTTAAGCTAGACCAGAAGGCATGAAGAAATGATCACAAGGTGGCCAAAAGAGTGAAAAAGAGAGAAACTACTTGACATTAAAAATATCAATCAGTTACACTT